TGACTTGATTGTCACTGATCGCAGCATATGTGACGAAATTGGTCAAAAATTGTCGAGATTCAAGATTGTGGCGCTTAGCAAGCATCGAAGATGTACGAGACGATCGGTCGTGTAGTGAGAACGGTACCTGAAGCAACCATTAGGACAGTCAATATATTTGCTGAACTAATCATATTCACGTCATTTGTTGAGTAATTATGATACTTGAATAGTTGTGATCGTCGTTGAGACTGTAATTCGTCGTGATCGTCTTCCGATCAGTCACTTAATCATTCTGGTGCAATTGGTCAGTATTAAGTGATCGACGGCTGTGTTAGGTTTTGTTTAGTGTTTACTTGTGTGTCGGGTTGAATGATGGCGACCGGAATGGCGTGGGAAGGCGTGAGAAATAGGAATTTCGATGGGAAACAACATCTCTAAATGATGATGTAACAAAAAGCGGAAAATATTTCGATTTAAAATTGAGAGCAAAAGAGTTTTTTGGTGTTTTTTTTTTGCCATATGAAAGAATGAATACAAAAGAAACGAACAACGAAATTGCTTATTGTTATGAAGAGATATGAATAAGTGAATCAAATGATGAGCGCCGGAAAAAAAATTTGTCGAGCGGCTGATTGCGTTTTGTTTGTGTGTTTTCTGTGTTGATTGTTCCCTTTGATCAGCGCAAAGGAAAGCTTTCTGATCGAATTCGTGCTTTTTTGCCGATTATTCATTAGTGTGGTCGTTGTGGTTATTGATGGTTGTGATGAGATGCGATGCGTTTGTGTTTGGGGTATCCCTGAAGTTTTTGTTGTTTTGCTGCTGCATCATCGTGGGAATGATGACGACGATGATTTCTGTGCGAATGACTTGAAGCAGCGATGAGTGAGTGACGCATTTAATCGTGTCCTGGTGAAAGGATATTTGAAGTTGTTTTTTTTTCGCAATATCCTTTTGATATATCTGATGTGAATATACTGGGAATCCATCTCGTTTGCTACGACGATATTTACTTGAAGTGGAAAACATTAATTTGTATTTTATGAGTGTGTTGAGTTTTTTTTCAATAATACTCAGATAATTTGTTAGGAAGACGAAATCGAGAATCAGGACAATAACCAGCTCCTGGTAGCCTAACAATGTTTAGTGTGTATTCAGTGTAAGCTCTAGGTGCGAAGGAATTTTCAAAATTATTATCCTCTTCATATTTCTCATAGAGTTTCAAGCGAGGATTCTGTGGTATTGCTTTATCGCTATCGCAGAAAAAGCTCATTTGAATTTTGTATGATGACAATTTTGTTGTTTGCAGCAACCGTCACCCATACCGAATGGAAGTTACAATAGTCCAGGATCGGTGGGTCCCCCACAAGGCGCCAGCAAGAAATCGAAACAAGGCTCAAGACCTGCATCGAGGGATCACGTTATGTATCCACCACCGCCGCAGTCAGCCGGTGCTGCTGCAGCTGGACAAGGTGGTCCACCACCTCAAATGCAACCCATGCAAAATCCTGCTATTATGGGTCTGCGAATGGACGGTCCTCCTGCCTCACCGGCGAGTCCAGCACACGGTAATTTTTGAATACTCTTCTTTAATTTGTGTCTTTTCGGATTCTTTTCCATGTGATGAAGACTTTTTACCTTTATTTGTTGTGTGAAGCCACTTACTTCTTGTTCATATGGCCTTCCTTGTGGAGCACGATTGAGCGTTCGTCCCTTCGCTGACGACTGTAAGCTAGCTGCCAAGATTGTTGTGAGAACGAGTCGATGAAGGAACAGCATTTGCGTGAAGTTGAGGCGATATTTTAGTTAAAGTTGAGGCGATATTTTAGTTAAAGTTGAGGCGATATTTTAGTTAAAGTTGACGCGATATTTTCACCTGTAGAGGAATAAGCGTGACTCATTCGTATGCTGTTCACATTCCCATATGAATGTAGAGCAAGAAGGTGGTTAGAATCATTCAAAATAGTCGCAGCAGTGGTTTCGTATTCAGTGAGAGTGCATTCGTTAGGCGTGGAAATTTGCGTTTCTTTCCGATACTCCGTGGTGCTGATCATTCATCAGATACCATGAGTGTATCGTGTTTCGTTGTAATTTCCAGCTGTATTCGGTACAAACGAGGAACTGAACTAGA